TATAAAATCTAATGTCATGAACTTATTATCTATAATAGTACCTTCACAAAATTAAGTAACTTAAAATACTAATCGTTTGAATTTATTTCATGTAATTTTATAAAAATAAAATTATGATATTGCCATAGACGCTCTTTGAATAGCATGAAAAATTTAATTTATTGAAAATACAGTTCTTAAGTATACTTATAAGTTTAAAAAATCAGAATTTAAATAGATTCATAATCAAAAAAAAAAAAAACCCAAGGGTGAGCTTACATACAGTAAATCGCCTGTTGAAAAAACACATTTCAAACTGGTCAACTTAGGTCACTATTATATTATTATTATATATGCAACTGCATTATGCTATAATTATTATAAACGTATACTTAGATGATACACACATGTCTTGACGATAGCTTCACACGATGTTTATTAATTATTATTAATAAGTAATAAAATTTAACTTATGTGCAACACAAAATTATGCGGTCTCGGATCTGTCATGATAACCTTTATACCATTATACCTCCAAACGGATTGTAATTAAAACTTGTTTTTCGACAACAATTATTAGGTCAATCGGTCGATTGTATTTTCCGATGATGTTACATAGGTAATATATTATGTTCGACTATGCTACAGAACAAGAGAAAACAAAAACCGCAGTTTAAAAATGTGGTAATAAACACATTGATATTATTATTTTTATTATTATATTCAGACGTGACCTTATGACGTCATTTTAATTAGGTTTGTACTTTCGTTGTCACTGCAATCGTTTGTACAGTTAATTTACACGATAATTCATCCGCAAACGTGTATCTGTCCATACCAATAATATATTATGATAGAAAAAATATCTAGTTAATTCAAATACTCGTGCAGGTAAGAAATGCCCATACGAGAATATTGTATTATTCTGTTATTCACTTTCAAACGATATTACAATAATATTAGTTTTAATTACATTGGTCGTAGGTGTGATAAATAACTGTACCTTGTTAATTGTGATACAATGGGCGAGGCACGTTTGGGCCAGGGACGTTTAGGTCACTAATAAAAATGCAACCCGTTTGGACCAGGATTTTGTGAACCCACTTGGGCCAATTTTTTTTTTAGTAAATTTAAGATAAAGACTTCTAATTAATTACTAGAAAGCCCGATTATGCTCGTTTCACATGGACGCGTATCGTACGCTTGCGCTTTTATTTTACAATGGTTAAGTTCATACGCACCGTATCGGTGATTAAAACACGCCATCATCGGAGTAATAATATGTTCAGTTAAACTGTGTAAACTAATTTGTAATTTCTAGATTATGTACAGAACAAAATTATTTATAATTGATAACTGACCAAAAACCCACAGTTATATTATACATACGTATAATACAAATATACAATATATATACAAATATATAATAGATATCTATTACAAAACGGTCTTATCGGCCAGTGCGATAATACTAATTGGCAATATTGCGGTTATTCGGCTATACATTATTATCAAAAAATTTAAAACACTATGTTCTACGTATGCACAATGGTGACATCGAGGCTCTGTTTCTATAGCTTATACCATACTAAGTTAGTATTAGTATTTTCAATTTTGGTTAGTGCACTCTTAATATTCGTGTAGTACTGTAGTTAAAATGGATATCCAAATCGAAAATGTTTTTCAAACAAAACGAGGTAATACGTGTATAACTGTTGATAATTTTAAACTCAGTAAATGTAATATTTTAATGAATAGTAATATTCGTTTTCGGTGTACAAATCGTTCGTGCAACGTGACTATTATCGTTAATGATAAGCTAAATGAAATAATTGAAACCAAAAATTTTCCTTACAATCATCCTCCTCTAAAAGATAATTCGATCAAATTGGACATCATTAGAACAGCTGTAAAAAAGAAAGGGGACAGAAGACCTGCATACCAAACCAAACAAAATTATTTTAAAAGAAATACGTCAAAGTGGATTTGATACAGATATTGAATATTCTAATTTAAGGTTAGTGCATAAATCATTATATTGTGCCCGTAAAAAATTATTTCCGACGTTACCACAAACATTAGAAGATACAATTGATATACTTTCGGCAGAAGGAGACAATATAACAAAATTTAACGATGAAAAATTTTGTCATATTTCTTCGGATAAAAATTTAATTTTATTCACCTGCAAAGCAAATCTAAATCTTTTGTGTGATAGCACACATGTTTTTGGAGATGGTACTTTTCGTTATGCACCTAAATTTTTTTTTCCAGCTGTATACAATTCATGTGTATGTAAATAAATTTTACATCCCTGTAATTTATTGTTTACTCCCATTCAAAAACTTGGAAATGTACCAATATATGTGGAATGAAATAAAATTATTATGTAAACATTTAACTGGCAAAAAACTAGATATGAAAAATTTCCATGCAGATTTCGAAAAACCTGCACATTGTGCTGTTTTAAATACATTTCCTAATTGTAAAATTGTGTGCTGCTTTTTTCATTTAAGCCAAAGTTTTTATCGCAAAATTCAAAAACATTATTATTTACATAGTAAATACAAAGAAGAAAACTCAGAAGTTGGAAATTGGTTGAGATATTTTTATGGGTTAGCTTTTTTACCACCATCTGAAGTTGGAGATGGGTATGCTCAATTGATGTCTATTGCTCCCAATATCGAACACGTTACTCACTTTGCTGACTATGTTTTAAATTATTACGTATCAGAAGATGCAGATTTTAATCCTTCTATTTGGGCAGCAGAACCTTCCGATTCACCACGTACAACAAATGGTCCTGAATCGTTTCACTCTCATTATAATTCACAATTTTATACACCCCATCCAAACATTTTCCAAGTAATTGACGTTCTTAAAGATTTCCAAGTTCAAACTATGCTGAAAATATCATCAATTTCAAATAATAAAATGAATGTTCAAAGAAATGATACACTTAAAAAACACAACATACTACATGCACGATGGGCACAATATAAAAATGGTGAGATATCTCAATTGACGTATTTGAAGATTATTGGACAAATGTTTCAAGCAGCTCGAATTTAAAATTTAAATAGTTCATAAAAAATATATTTTCGTAATTTAGTCCACTCGTATTTAAAAAAATAATAATTTGACAAATTTTATATTGTACCTAATGTACCTATTTATTTTTTAATATTTTTATCTTTAAAACGAAGTAATCATACATATTTGATATTATTATAAAAAAAAAAAACAATAATAAAAATAAAAATAAGAAACAGCATTTTTAACCATGCCAAAGACAGTCCTAAGCCTGTTAAAAATAAAATGGGAAGGAAAATGCTGGTCCAAACGAGTTGTATAAAAGTAATATTTTTTAGTCCAAACGGGTCTTTAAAATTGGTCCAAACGAGCTGTGTTTTAGAAAAATTGGTCCAAACGGGTCCTGCCCGATACAATAGGGTCAATTGGCTGGTCTGGGATGGGCTCGACGACAGTAAAATGAGGTTAATATAACATTCATCGACATACGTAAATATAGGTACAACATAATTATTTCAAAAGTGTGTACAAACTCCTTTTATTCGATAGAATTTCATAGGTACATTCGATTAACTTACAACACTAAATTATATACGTTTTTTTCATGGTGTATAATCATATAAATAAGCCTTAAAATAAATTAAAGTAAGGATACGAATAGTAAAAAAAAAAAATAAATAAATAAATAAATAATAATAAATACAAAAAAAAATAGAATTAAATCAATTAAAATTTACACGAAAAAAATCATACGTGGTTCGGCTTTTATGAACAAAAAAACATTTTGGAAGACAGACTTTTTTTTATCATGAAAAATCCAGGTTAAATGATATAAAAACAAAACATACAATTTTCAATGGCATATTAAAATTAAGATACATATTTTTTGTACTCGTCGTTAAAAAAAGCTCAGTGCTTATCAATAATTTCACATTATAATGGTTAAACTAATAAATATATGAATACGAATGTCTTTTTATTATTTCTTAAAATAATTATCATTTAAACTTACAATATTATGGAACACACAATCATCAATAATTAAATATAAATATTATTGTTTTTTTTTTCATTTAGAATACAAAAATCGCAACATCTTAAAATATTTATTTGAAATTCAACGCATTATTAAATTTTCTTATATTTTTATCCTAAAAAAAGTCTTCCAAAAATAAATTATATATTTTATAATATTATATTATGTTTATATATTTATGATTTTTTTCCATTTGAAATACTGTCTTTTTACACAAATTTATACACTTGATTTATTCTAAAAAAAATAAATAAAATTTCAAAAATTTATGAGCGTTGTCGTTTTGCATTATTACTTATGAATAATGATTAAAAAATATCCCTATAACTAAATAGGTCACACACTACCCCTATGATAGCTACCTAACTAATCAGTCAAATTTGATATATTTATTTTTATGTATTATTATTACATTTTAATTCTGATTCCGCCAGTGTTTTGTACATACTAAACACTAATAACTGTGATGGACTTTCTACTTACGATCGTAGAGAGATCTATTTAATGAACACAAAATACATTATTTAATTATCTTATTTTAAAGGGTGATTGAGGAAAAGAGTATACCTAAAATCGATCATTTATAACTCATGGGTGAGAATAGTAAGTGAGTTTATCGACAGAATTATTTTAGAATAATAATTTTAAAAACAATTTATACCGAAGCCGTGTTAACTTTGTTTCATCTAAAATTGTTTATACAACGGCAGTATAAATATTTAATATACATATAAATAGGCGATTAGTTAAGAGTACAAAAATAAAACACTAAATATTTTTAAATCATCATGAAAAAAAGTTGTCAATTAAAAAATAATACACACATATTCCTTATTTTGGGGGGGGGGGAAGAGACGTTTTTCACTATAATATGTACAGGAAAAAAGTAAAAACAAAAAGAAAACAAATTATAACAAAAATCGTGATTAAAAATTGATACTTAAATCTAGGGTTTTCTTATAAAAGTAAAATGATTACTTAATCCAAATAAAAAATGAAACGATAAACGTATATTGTATAAAACTTCTTTGGCAATCGGATGAAATTTGAGAAGTATAGTTGTGTGTATAATAATTTATTGTACGGAGGAGAAATAACGAATTTTTGGCGGGATTGAGTAGAGAAGATAAGTCGAAATCACGTGGCGTAAGGGGCGGCCGATCGACTAAGTATAAAAACGAATATAAAAAAAAAGGAAGTAAAACAACCTCATCCCTTTTGCTCCGGTGGCATACGTATACTGCAACTATTGACATTGGTTCTCCTGGTATGGTCCGGTTACTACGCACGGGAACATTGGAAATAGTGTCGTCCACGTGGTGGTGGTCACAGTGGTCGATTTGCGTCCACCACTGGCTGTCAACAGTGGATTGGCCGTGATGGCCGTAGTCGTGGCTGCTGTGCCAGTGCCGCTATTGCAATTGGTAGATGCGTTGCCCATCTTTCGCACCCTCATTTTCTCTTCCCATTCGTCCCATCCGTGTTTTGGTCTGTTCAAGTTTCGGTGCTGATAAAACACTAGGCTGATGCGGGTCGGATGCAGTCTGTCAGGTTTCCGAAGTGCCGTGGTAGCGTGCAGTTCCTGTTTGGCCACCTCGAATAGAACAGAACCGTGACTTAGCGCTATGGCCACGCCACCCATTTGCGAATCCTGAAAAATTGTGAATACAAACTGTTATACAACTTCTTAGTCGTAAATGACTAAACTGATGTTGAGTAACCAAGTTCGCGATAAATTCAAAGAATACATTTGCGATGAAAAATGGATGGTTTTAAACTGATAAGTAATTAAATGAAAAATAAATATTTATTTGACATGTATGACAATATATTAATTATTCTTTCGTGTGCACTGTATAAGAACTGTATAGTTACTAGTTCCTACATTTATTGAATGGGTCGGTAATTGAATAAAATGTAAATTGTATTGCAGGTTTCAGAAATACTTGAGAACCTAAATCTAAAAATATTAGTTAAGAAAATACATAATGCATCATAGAGCATCTACAAAACAGTACAAGTTAAGTTTTTCGTAATTAAAAATAAATAAATAAAACAAATAATTTAGATTGGTTGTCAACTGTAATATCTTATTCAACACCTACTAAAATGTAAAAACTTTTTCCAACTGATTTTTATCATGTTAATCATTGCGCAACCACGTTTAAAAAATTAACGTGTACATAAAACATACCTTGAAGCATTCTTCATTCTCTACATAATCGGTCACTTCACCGATTGGATGTACTTTGGGCGCCGCTGCAGGTTCGGGCACAACTGAGGGGAAGTACGGTGTCGGTCCGTATAGATCCCATCTTGGAAGCTGGTACTGGGACATCCCCTGTAAGAGATGAAATCATTTTTAATACAAATACATGACATATTTTTATATGTATTTTATATACTATTAAATGCAACTTACCTGATTGAACATAGTTGTCGGGTCCTGATAGGAGGCGTGGATTTGGAACGGTTGCGGTAGTGATGGCGGATACAAATCTGACTGCGGTGGTGTTGGTGGTGGACACCAATGGTTAGTAGTAGTCTCTGGGTGCAGTGGCAAATACTTTGGTTGTTGACTATAACAATGACTATACTCTGTTTGGGGGGCGGTGACAACGTTTGTCGCCACCGTCGAATTAGACAGGGCTTGACTAGATTTATAATAATAATTATAGTTATTGGCATTTTCTATCTCAGCCGGTCTCGGAACTGGTCTGCTCTGAGCGTAGCTGGTCGATTGACTATAGTGATCTGGTGGTTTTTGTATCAACGGAGTTGAATTTCCGGCCAATGCGGGCTCGACCGGCTTGCCACCAGGCAATCCACCACCGACGGGTGGCCATAGGTTGCGGACGTGATGCCTAGATGACGGTTGGTAATTCGTCACGTTTGCTTTCGAGTTCATTTCCATCGCCATGCTTGGTGACATGAGGTTATCTATTTAAAAACATTTATTATATAATATTATAATTGCTATAGAGATTAAAAAAAATAATAACGGTATCATTTAGGCTATTTTAAAATGTTAGCTTACCAATATTATTCCATGGACTGTATTCTTGGACGTTATAGAAATTAGATGGGCTCTGCTCCAATAAATCTTGATGGTTCCATCGTTGATACATATTTATTGTTGGGCTATCCAATACCGTTGAAGATATCTAAATTCAGCAATGTAAACAATTAGTTTTTATGCTAACGAAGAATATAAAATATAATGTCATGACATACTTGTGAACTTTGTACTTGTGTATCATTATTTTTTTCAGATTTCTGTGGTACTGAGGTTGTAGATACTCCTCTAGGAGATTCTGGTTCTTCAACTTGGCGTTTCTTACGTCTACAAGGAGTCAATGGTACAGATCTAACTCTTACCTCACATGGAAATCTATGAAAAATAATTATCATAAATACAATTAATGTTCTGTATTATAAATCATTTATAAGTTATAGTAGGTACATACTTGGAAAGCATTTCGACCGAACCATTTTTAAATTTATCACTTTGAGCCTGCTTGTCTCCAAATTCATCCGACTCGTCTACTACGTATAAAGGTAATACATGCAATTGTTCGTCATCAGGTTTTTGAAACCCTCGATGTTTGTTCAATGTTACCACCTAAAAGTTATTATGAGTTTTAGGAAAAATTTTTCTAAAATAATAAATAATTATAATTAATTGACTTACGACTGTACAACCATTGTGCATGTTGTGAAAGTCTCGATGAGCATGTGCGCAAAAATCTATACAAGCCGTAACGCTCGCAAAAGGACGACCAGGTTTGAAACCTAATCTACAATCTGACCCTTCACGTTCATATTGTATTTGATTGTTGTATGAACGTGGCGCTAATGATTTGTATAGAGGCGATAAATTAGTGGCTAGCATTTGCAATCGTTCTTCTAATTCTTGTTCCTAATTTAGTTAAAAACAAAAAAAATTAATATTATTAATACACTACTCGTATATTAGCTTAAAATGTAATACATAAACTAATTGATCAACCAAAATTACCTCTGTCCGAACGGAAAGCCTAAATTTTCTCACGTCTTTACTCCTTGCGTATTTACAACCATTGTAGTACATCGACCAAGAACAACCGAACGAAAACGAAGCTCCGCATGAATCCGGATCAAGCCCTTGACAGGCACATGTTCGTGGATCGTTCGTACCACATCGTCTGGTAGTCGGTACTCCATATCTATTTTAAATAAATTGATTTTTTTAATAAAAATATAGATAAATAACGTGAGTTAATTAAAATGTTATAGGTATAAATATTCCAAACATACTTGTTAAGTTTATGCGACAGCATGGTGTACAGAAAATCGGCCTCGTCGGACAATATTCCCTCCCACGATACAATACAAATGACAATCCAAGAATGTTGACATTTGTGTCCTCGTCGGTTTTTGACAACTATTAAGAGTTTTTCGTCGATCGACGAACGTCGTATTACCCATTTGGCCAAAGGACAACCTTGCGTAGTTTTACCTTCTTTACCAGTATACAATACCTATATAAATTAACACAAACAGAAAAATTAACAACCATCAATAACTATAATTCAATTGTAAGACTTTAAAATTAAGTGAATACAAATATTAGTCATAATGGGAAATTTCCTTACCTTTTCCATCCGTATTCCTTTTCCTCGGATTCCTGACATATTTTCCATATTTGTTCTAAGTTCCATTAAACTATTGGCCGAACCCAAGTGAGTATAAAACGGTCCGGGTTCTGGCGGGGCTTGATCAGTAGGGAAACAATTACAATCAGGAACCGTAGCTTTGACGTTATTTTTTTGTCTAAAATAAATCGTGCATTTATAAAACATCATTTTTTTTTAAATTATAACAAATCATAATAATATAACATACTTATCATCTATATTATCAGAGCATTGACTATTATTCAGGGCATTCTCTTGTTTTGCTTCCACCGGATCTATCTCTTCATCCAACGCCTTTAATCCATGACAACACCCATCAGACAAATGTTTAGTAGTTGGAGTATCTGTACCACCCATTCGACAGCACCATGGACCCGCCACAACATCAATAGGATTAGGGCCACCATTTCCACAGAATACATAGCCATTCTTTTGGCTCACTCTAGGATCGATTCCAAACGGTAATTGGTGCAATCTCACTTCATATGGTATTTTAATAAACTCTTCTTTAATATGGCTATATTTTTGGGTTTCTAGACTTTTCATATAATTATAAACAAATTTTTGTTGATGTTGCTGATCTTTCTGTTGTCGTTGTTTTTGCTGTGATTGTAGTTTTTCTTTTGATTTTTTTTGTTCATTATGATAATGGTAGTGATGGTATTTCGGATGTCGTTCGACTTCCGAATAGAAGCCACCACCCTCAATAGCTAAGCTCCGAGGATGGTGGCCTTGGACTAAAAAATTATTGCTAATTAAGTTTTGTTTGGAGTCCGCCAGATATTGTTGATGATCAGATTGATTCAATGGACTCTTGGCATCTCCATTGTCGTCGTTTCTTTGTTGACGTTGAAGCGCTTGATGCTGTTGCATTATTTGTTGTCGATGCAAATGTTGTTGATGTATTTGCAGTTGATTATGCGTTTGTTGCATACTTTGATGATGCTGTTGTTGTTGTTGTTGTTGTTGTTGTTGCTGTTGTTGTTGTTGTTGCTGCTGCTGCTGCTGTTGTTGTTGTTGTTGTTGTTGTTGTTGCTGCTGTTGCTGTTGCTGTTGCTGTTGCTGCTGCTGCTGCTGCTGTTGTATTTGTTGTTGTTGTATCTGTTGCTGATGATGCATTTGTTGATGGTTGTTTTGGTCTTGAGGGCTATGCCTCTGTTCAGTTTGATACTGATCATTAAGATACTGCTGATGCTGAGCAGCACTTTGTTGTGCTTGTTGTTGGGCTTGCTGTTTAGCTTGTTGTTGCGCTTGTTGTTGCGCTTGTTGATGTGCTTGTTGCTGCTGAGCTTGCTGTTGGTGTTGAACTTGTTGCTGAATTTGCACTTGTTGTTGTTGTTGTTGTTGTTGTTGCTGCTGCTGCTGTTGTTGATGCATATGTTGGTGATTGTTTTGTTCATTAGAGTTATGTTCTTTTTGATACTGTTCATTGAGATATTGTTGATGTTGAGATTGTTGTTGATCTTGTGGTCTATCTTGTAAATATTGTTGTTGTTGATATTGTTGTTTGTTAAGAATCATTGATTTTATTCGACTATTTAAGTTGCTTTTTTCAGACACTGGTGTTGATGTATCATATTGATTATTTGACTGGCCCCATACGCCAGTTGCTGGAGAGTTTGAAACTCGACTTCTCTCCTCCCCTATGGAATTTCCATCATTTTTACCTGGGTACCTGTTAACAAAAAAAAAAGCAATATTGCATTTTAATAAATATATTATCTTTTTTAAATAATTTTAATTTTAAAATTTTAAATTAGTTTAAAAGCAATAAATAGTATAATTATAAAATTAATTAATTATAAAACAATATGAAATTATATAACTTATCGAGTTATTAATTTAATTGATTATTATCTAAAATTTTAAAATAATAGTTATAATTATGTTTGCGTAATTATATATAATAATTACATTAAATAATAATGAAAAAATAAATATAATTTAAAAACTAGTAATAGCGATTTATTTACCCATTAGAGTTGTGTAAACTCTGTTGCGATTGGGGAGGTTGTTGAGGTGGGTACCCAGGTATCGCGTTTCCCGCACCGGGTTGACTAAAACTGTTGTTAACTACTTTGACAGATGTGTCGTTGGACGAATCTAAGGTCTGAGAAGATGGTGATTGTTCTTGTACCTAAGAATTAAAATAATTATAATGATTACTAAAATTAAATATATACATAATTATATTACGTTTAAAGAAAAAAACAAGTATACTTACAGTCTGGGAAATGTGATTGTAATTCGGTGTTCCGTTAACAAAATCTGTTCTACCCGAAGTCTCCAAGTATTCTACGTTGCCGTTTAAAGTAGGCGCAACGTTTGGCACGCCATTTATTAATGAGCTGGTGGTTACTTGGGTGGGTTGCTGAGCGAAACCATTGCTAACTTGAATGAATCCAGTTGTCGGCGTTTGAGCCGCGCTAACCGTTTGATAACCCGGTTGATTATAAACATTTGGTGGAGCGTGAGTAGAATAATGCAAAGTGTTGGCAGGCGAATGGTATCGTATGTCTTCTAATTGAATTTGTTGGCCAACATACTGAGGTTGGGGCGATTGGGTGACGGCTGTCCATCCTATAAAAATATTACATAATATAATATATTTTATATGTAGGTATGTATTTACGTATAAATAAATGTTTTCACATTATTTTTTTTATTATCTATGATATTTTTATAGAAATTTTTTTTATAACATAAGCATAATTATTTTCGTGTAATCGTACTAACCCAATGCGTTTCCGTCGGTAGAATGCCACACAGTGGCTGGCGTTCCGAATCTGCTATCTCTGAACCCGATGCCATTGGGATCAGATTCCATAATGCTAACTGCCTGGTTGCCGTAAAACCCAGTCCCGTTGCTAGACGTCGTTAATACCGTGCCAGAAAGCTAAAATAGAAACAACACATTATAATAACATAAGCTACGTGGACACCAAAGTATCTGTGATTCGAGTGATATCATACCGAATTGTGATGAGATTCGGTCATGACCACTGGTGATCCAGGAGCTCCGTTCAGTGGAGTTGAGGGTCCGGGAGACTGTTGTTGTGCGCCCGAGTTACCAGATATCGATCGGTTGCCCTTGTTTCTGTATGCCTGTTACAAATATATTTCAATGTAAGATTCCAATCAATAAATAACGTTTTAATGTAGCACATATAATATACTACGACAAAATGTAAACATACTGTTAATAATGTAAATAAAAAAATAAAATGGCTGTTTGGGTTTAATAATAGAAATTACTGCTCTGTGTGTGGGCGTATGAATATTTTTGATTCAGCGCCAAACAACTTCACGATAGTTTTCATCAATGTGTATCGATGGTTTTCATCTCTCTATAGTCCGCCTTTCGACTACTATATACTACTACTACTACTACTACTACTACTAAACTGCTATAAAACTACTACTACCGACTGGTGATGATGCTGCATCGCAGCCAAAGACCGCGGGAAATGCGCTCGAGGGATTTTACCCGACCTTCCACAATCGTTTTTCGAGAAACGCACTTGTTACACGCCATTTTCACAACCCGCACAACATATATACGCACGAGCTTTTATACATTGTATTGTACGTATATATTATACTGTACAAATTATATACCCCGAGGGATAATAAAAGAATGGGTGCTCGGTGAAGTGTGTATGGTGGGAAGGAGTGAATCAACGACTTTGAGCACATTGTTTTCGGAATTCAAAAGCTCTATTATTTGAAGTGGGTCCAACTTGTATATATATATGTATATATTATAAACGGAATATTACGAATGAAACAGATACTTTCGTGTGGTTTGACTTAAGACACAACTCTCTGTGCATGACGATAACGTCAAATACTATCTACTTATCGTCGCATACTATATTACAACTACCATGATTTTATCAGGTTATCTCTAAATGCTTATACGATAAAATAATATTTTAATCCTTATATTGAACGTGCACAAGCGAAAACATTCCTCTGTTTTTGTACTACCTAATCTTGAAAATAATAAAATTATCGAACACAGAAAAAAAATTTTAATCATACAATTATTATATTAGTTAATATGCTTCTATAATACTGTATAATCATTGATCAAACAAAGTTAAATATTGTATGATGATATTTGTATGATATGTATTGATCATATTATTCAAAATAAATTAATTCTTCGATTAAACTTCGCGTACACCAGCAGACTAAACGAATTATTGTTGTAATCTTCTTATAAATAATTAAATCAATGGTAATAGTACCTAGTAATATTGTAATAATAAATTAGGTAATTTTCAAAATGTTCGATATAAGTTTAAATCATTACACTATTTAGTAGGTGCTTATTAGTTTATTTCCTCACTAAAACCGATTTTTATAGAAGAAATAGTACCATTATCTTTTACTTTTAAATAATAAATTAACATATACGAACAGAATTAAATAAACAGTTTTGATAAATGTATTATTATAGGTTGTATTCTAATAAAATGCGATCTAAATTATTAAAAAAATCTCGAGATTGTATACGTCAATTAAAACGAATATTTACATATAAACCGCCTATTTTTTCTTTTTTTTTTATGTTAAATGTTAATCATTAAACTGATTTTAATTTACTAATTATTTTGTTATTATTGCGTAATAGTTAAATATCAGATTAAACTGGTCATGGTGTCAATACATACAGGTATATTATTCATTATTTAATATATATATATATTATTATATTATACACTATTATATAGCCTATTTAGTCGCTAAGGAAGTTATATTTTTGTGTTTGGACGAAATAAAAATAATTGAAATTTTTTTGTCCATTACCTACATCTTGTATAATATATTATGATAACTGATAATCGTTAAAATTTTTAAGACAGTTAGATAAATTTGAGTGTTATGAGAACAAACAAATATCACGTAAGATAGACTTTTGACCTCGGACGGTATATACTCATATTATAAAATCACCTGGATAATAAATTTTCGAATATTTGAATACATATATAGTGTATACATTAACGGTACAGTAAGCAGTAAGCTATTCTATTAAGTATAATATTATACTATATTATTGTGTTGTATACGCACGACGACGACATAACATATATACATATTATACGATCGTAGAACGTGTGGAAGCGAGGCCACTGCATGAATTACCATGAAACATCAATAACGTGAACTACGATTACTGCTGTACGATATAATACATTTGTATACTTCCATAATTTAAACACACTGTGTTTTGGAGAAAAAACTAAAACCACGACTACCTAACTACCATACAAACGGTTATAATACTCGCTTGAAATTTGATTTTTATACTTCAAAATTCGAAAATATACTCAGAATAAGTAATAATATTTTTCTTTGAAACATAAAATTAAAAAACGTACATTGATTATCAAAAAAGCAAAACTTAAGAAATTATGACGATAAAACGTCAAAAATGTTCTCAAGTAACGATCTAAAAAAGATCTAAAAAAAACAATGTAAAAAGTTAAGTTATATAAAATAATATAGGAATTTTACAATTAATGAACCATCTAATATATTATTGCACAATCACGGGTGCAAACTATAATTATTAAACGTTACAATGCACGCGTTCTCGAAGTAATTATTATGATTATCACCTGCATAATTAAATACTATAGGTGTAGGTACTATTTTCTCGACCATTTAGCGTTTCCCTTCTGAGGCAGAGTGTTTTTTTAGTGTTTTCTACCTCGAAAACCTTGGCGAGAGTGTAATTTCAATCATAATATTAGATACCATATCATTTTTCTGTACCGCCATACGCCCGTTGTATCCACCGAAATCATGACGCACAATCGTCCTCATCACAATACATAGGTACACGACCGCGAACGGCGTTTTTACTCTCGACCGCCACTCGATCCGTCGTCGACGCAAACAAAAAAATTAAATATTACCTACCTACCTATTATTGCTTGCGCGGACTTGGTCGATCGGCTAAACGCGTACTCGTCGTCTCTACCGATTCCATCGTTTCCGCCATTCGTTGGCCATCGTACGCGATTTCGCGATTCGCGTTTAGGCAATTGCACGGTTGTCGTATTGCTGTGCTAGGCGCTTTTGAAAACAATTTCGGCGGCGGAGTGCACGACGAGCGCGTTCGATATCAGCGGAGGTCTGACCGTGTGGTATTATCAGAAAACCGCGACTGTCCTCCGCCCGCGCCGACATAACGCTGCCGACGCTGCCGTTCCAGCCCTTCCAGTCGTCCGAACGCTCGAGCGCATATTATTATATTTTTTATTATTATTACTTATTATTAGTAGTAGTAGTTATGGTAGTAATAGTATTACTATATAGTAGTGCTAGTAGTAGTTGTGTATTATTACGGTGCGCGCGCGCGCGCACGGCAGACGTCGAGGCCGCGACACAGTGCGGCCGTGACTGCGCCCCATAATTATCGCACGTTACGTAGCCGCGACTCCGTCGTCGTCGCAACGACGTATCGTGTTTTTGTTATTAGGCGCATTAATATTATTACTCTCGGCACGACTACATCCTACGTTTACGTCGTGTCCACTCGAATGTTTTGGGAAAGGATTGTTGGAAATTTTTCGAAAAATTCGCCGAGAACGCCGCGCGTCATTCACCAGACGTCAACGCGTGTGTTCCCCTCCAGATTCGATCGCCGACTATCGGCTCTGTGGGCACGTTAATTATTGTACCCGCCAAACCATTATTCCTGTATTTTAACTGTAACTTCGGTATCGCCGTAATGTGCGGTAGCTGCTTGCCCGCCACGTCCCGCGTGTTCGTCGCCCACGCCGGCTGTCGTCGCCTCTGAATTACGTGCGTATATACGCTATTTGGGTCACGTCGCTTTTATCGGAAGTACGGGTCGTCGACCAACTGTCTGATAATTAAGTATTGTAATTTATAGGTAATAATAATAATAACATACACGTTTCGGCTACATGCTCAACATATACCCGCTACATACACTACACCGTCAATAAAGGTTTATCTACAAAGATATTATATGATATAACGTAGACGGTCGTGACGTATCTATAGGTATAACGTAACGTGCGTACAATGTTATTTAAACAATTGAGTGCGTAAATAATTGTAAAATTGTTCAGATATATCAGAACGTATATCATTGCGTCATGAAAGATATTCGCCGTTCTGACACTGACAGCATCCAATAATTTTCGATAGAATTTTTTTCTCATCATCCGGCTTTCACATTGGCAACCACGTGTGCTCGACGTAACATCATATAGTTTCAAGAAAATATATCGTAATTCACATAGATTTATTCACAGCATTAAAATATTATTATCTATTAACAATTTATACTAGTGTACTGTATAATGTAAGATTCACTTAATTTTTTAACCTGGAAATATATTGTGCGTGTGTGGAGGTAATAGCTAACATGAAAATCATGTTTAACCACGTTAAACATTCGTGAAATAATTAAAGAAAAAAATCGTGTTGAATTTAAACCTAAGTTACGTGATAAATTGTGTAATGGTTTCAACGGCAATATTTCCTCGGGGTCTCACAGTCACGTATTACTTGTATAGTTTTCTTAAACATTTTGTTAATTACCTACCACACTACCCTTATGACTTAAATCTAAAATACTAATTTCATTAAAAATGTTTTTCCTAAAAAATCAATCAATACGTCTATTTCTGTACATTTTATAATATAGTATTAATGTTTATTAATAAAATCATTCGTTAATGATTATAAACATGTGTCTTAAGTCCATTATATTATTATATATATGCTCTTTTATATATTTCTGTATACTCTATTTATAATTTTTTATACTACAGATCAAATAGTTTGAAATAGTTTAAGGTTAAACATAGGAACTATTCTTATAAAAAAAATTAGTTATCCAAAAATAATTCATATTATCGCACATTATCTTAATGATAATTAATGTATAATAGATTATACTACCTATTAATTGTTTTCTTATGTTTGAGGAGTTAACATTTCCAATACTTAAAAATGCAATTACACTACATGTGCGTACATGACAATACGCGTAATAATAATATTCTACTTAGTAATAATTGACTTGCAGAATTTTCATGGTAGCTTCAGTACCT